CAACCAAAAAAATCGAGATTGATGTCCCATTAGGAAGAGGAGAAATTAAATCAATTATTAAATCAAATATTCAAAAAGAGTGGCAGAAGAAGTGGGACATAGCTGATATAGGAAGATTTTATTATCAAATGAATTAATCAGTTAAAGAAGTATACAATTTTGGAAGATGTAGGAAAGATGAGGCGATTTTAAATAGATTACAATTTGGACACACAGGACTAAATGCATCACTATACAAAATAGGTAAACATATTACAGGTAAATGTGCTTTTTGTGTGGTAATAAAAACCGTTGAACATGTAATATTAAAATGTCGGAAATATAAAATAGAGAGAATTAAAATGATAAAGAATTTAAAAGGTAATAAATAATAAAGAAAAAAAGAAGATAAATTGGATATTAGGAAAAGGATTAAAATAAGGTATTAATCAAAGAATAGTAATGAAATATATATAGTAGAAACAGGATTAAACAAACAAATTTGATAGTTAAATAAATAAATAAAGCAAAGGAATAGGGGAACACACAAGGCGGGTTTTCTGGCATGGGAGCTGAACACACAGCAGCTAGAAGTACAGCTTGGATGAACCCGAAATAAAATTAACAATAAAAGAAATGAAAATATGAATAGAGACGGGACTATCATCCGTGTATGTATATAAACAGTTGGTGGCTGTATGTGCGTACGATGTGGAATACGCCAAAAATTCCAAAGAAGAAGAAGAAGACCTAAATCGGTGCGTTCCAAACGGGATGTATGGCCCTCCGAAGGGCACTTCGGAGTGAAAACAATCATGGCCGCCATATTGAAGGGTCGTTCCAAACCGCAGTGCTCAAAACTGGCCACTTCAAAGGGCCCTTCGGAATGAAGGATTTCATCCCATGATCTTTTTTATTTTTTTTAATTACAAAACTTGTAGAAACTTACAGAAACAGGGAAGCGAGACATGAATATATTCCAACAAAAAGCAATTATAAAAATAAGAATATTCTGGATTTGCATGTCAACTTAAGTATTATCCATACATAAAAGTGCAAAAATAATCGTACATTCTTTTAGAAAAGTTTGGGCTCCCATGATCCTTTGCACAGATTCTTTGCACGATGACCGCACCTCCGTGTGGGCAGGTGATGACGCAGAAGGGCACTACAAGAAACAGTTGTTTCCCTATATTGTTCAACATAATGGTAAATGATATTTTTAATACAGTTGGATTGTAAAGTCTTTATATGCAGACGATGGTGCTTTATGGAAAAGAGGTAGAAATTTGTCGTATGTAGAAGAAAGGATGCAGAATGCTATTAAAGAAGTTGAAATGTGGGCAAGTAATTGGGGATTTCGAATATCAGTGGAAAAAAATAAAATAATATGTTTTTCAAAAAAGAAGAAAGCACCAGTTGTTAAGTTAACAAGCTAACAACCTAACCAGTTGTTAGGTATTTGGTATGAGCAAAAACTGGAGCAAGTATCTGGATTTAGATTTTTAGGTATTTGGTTGGAGTCAAAGATAACATTTGCAAAACACATTCAACAGATAGTAGCTAAATGCAAAAGAGGAATAAATGTACTGAGGTGTTTGGCGGGAATAGATTGGGGAGCTGACAGACAGTCTCTAAAAAGCAGTGGCGGGCCGTGCATTTTACACCTAGGCCTTCAGATATACGTCCAGTTAAAAAAGTATTAGAAAACTGTTGGGAACATGAATACATAAATATAAATAGTTTTGGATGGAAAGCAAATAATGAGGCACATCAAATTGGAATAAGTAATTGTGATGTTTGCAATACTGTTGTGTTGCCAGTAACACCTCCATGGTTATTCCCAATGCCTGCAGTTGACTTTCAGGTTTTAGTGAGTATAAATGATAAAAACAGACAAGAATCTAAAGATTCAATAGTACAGAAATATTTAGATCAGAAATATATATCAGTAACTCATATATATATACAGATGGATCTAAAGATCCTGAAACAGGACGCACTGCAGCAGCAATATATGTTCCAAGGTTCAGGTATGGAATAGCAAAAAGAACATCTAATCACCTATCAGTTTATACAACAGAAATGATTGCCATATTATTGGCTCTTCAGTGGGTTGAAGACATTAATATACCTGAAGTAGTCATATGTCCAGACTCTTTTTCAGCACTATCAAGTTTAAAGAGTGGTAAATCTTCAACTAGACGAGACATTTTATCAGACATTTTACAAAGTTTGTTCAGAATACAAACAAAAACAATGATCTCTTTTGTATGGATACCTGCACATATAGGAATAGAAGGTAATGAAGTGGTGGATCAAATAGCGAAAAAAAACATTAAAACATCCAGACATAGAATTTAATGTTCCAATGTGTAAATTAGAAATAAAAGGGCTAATTAAAAAAGCATTAAAAGATAAAAATGGGATGGTGAGAATAAAGGACGACATTTATATAATATTCAAAAAAACAGTTGGAAATGAGAGGAGAATTTTTGGGAATAGAATCTCGCCTTAGAATTGGACACACTTCACATAATCAAACATTATTTATAAGTCTGGACTTTGTGTTAAATGTGATCTTCCTGAAACAGTTGAACATATTTTAATAAAATGTAAAGGATATGACAACGAAAGAGTACAACTTACAGAAGCACTTCATATAGAAATAAATCAGATCTCACTTCAGAAATTGTTAAATAAAGATGTGACTATAGAAATGTTTCACATATTATTTAAGTATCTCAAAGATACAGAGTTAATAAACAGGATTTAAAGAATCACTACTAACTTAGTTTTTTTTTGTTTTGTTTTGTTTTCCTGTGTTAGAACGAGGCGTTTTAGGTAGGCGTGGTTAACGCTTAACTTTTATAAAGAATATCTCTTTGGTTTTGAGACTTTAGTGTTTGCAACTTTACAGATCTTCTTTATGCACCAAGAGCTTTTAACACTCCAAAGAGAAAGGAAAAATTTGAAATCGCATCATATGACCCCTTTAATGTCAATGCTCCACACTCCATCCTAGTAAGTGGAGGTAAATGCACCTAAAGCTGGTTTGCCAACCGCCATAAAACGTCAAAGAAGAAGAAGAAGAAGAAGAAACAGTTGTTTGGTCCCCTACAGCCTTCAACCCTTCGAAGCTCTCACTCCGGAGGGTAAACCCTTTGAAGGGATTAGGGCAATAGGGATGAGCCCTTCCGAATGGAACGCAGGGTTAATCTCATTTTCCCGCTCCATCGATGAAGAAGGACCAAAGACTCGTGACGTATTTCTTCCGCGCCTAGACAAGCGATAACGGTGAGGAAAACAAATGATGCTGTTACGTTCATCTGGCTTTTTATTTTATTCCCGCATATTTGCTTGAATTTCTTCACCAGGACACACTTCACGGCGAGTATATATTTCTTTAAAACTAGCTTACTGTAGCGGGGCTTTAATTTAAATTTAATTTAAGTTTAATTCAGTCTGGAGCTTTAAAAAAAGAATCATGTGGCATCTGAAAATTAATCGATTCAGACAGTATTTATTACTGTAAACTAGACAGTTAAGCTCTTTGTTTTATTTATGCTTCCTGAACTCTGTTCTTAATTGTTTTCTGTACTGTAGATAGATTGGTTGTGTCTCAAAACGTAGTGAGCTGAGTTTCAAGGGCGTGCAGCATGCATGGGTTTGCGTCTTTTTAAGCATCATAGGAGTGTGCAGCATTTTTGGGCATAAAAGGTGCAGCTTGCTGTGATTTGATTGGAGGCACAGCCATTGATTTATTTGCTGAGGTTTGTTTATTTTTTGCAGAAGACCCTCAGTATGGCTTTAAAATCTGGAGAGGAGCGCCTGAAGGAGATGGAGGCAGAGATGGCACTGTGAGTTCTTCACAGTTCACTTATGTTCAATTCCAGCTGTTTATATGCAGCGTAATATTGCTCTCAGGGCAGTGTTGTAGTGTTTGGAGTGTGTAGAATTGGATGTATCTGATGTTGTTGCTTCTCCTGTAGGTTCGAGCAGGAGGTTTTGGGAGGACCTGTGGCACCTACAGTGGTTGAAGCTGTGCCAGTCGCTCTGGCAATGCCAGGTGTACCCATCATCAGGCCCATCGTTGGTACAAACACCTACAGAGAGGTATTATTTCTAACTCCAAAAATATCCCTAATATTTTACGTTGTATATTTTTATAAGCTGGGATCCAAACATCTGAGACTATTAGTGAAAATGCTTTTATTTTGCATTATTTTATCATTTGCTAATTATTCTGATTTACTTATTTAAGTACAAATTTTGACATGTCATTACAATTAACTTAAGTAAAAAGTTTAATTAAAAAAATGACAAATATATTAAAAAAAAATTCGATTTTTTTCCCCAGAATCCCAAAATCCAGTTTTAAATGAAAAATAAATATATATTGCTTAAAGCATTCATCAATTGCTTATATTACAAGCTTGTTTATTGTTTTTATTTTACATTTTTTTTGTAGATCCAGCAGAGCTTGGAGGCAAGAGCTGCCACTTTAGTTGGTCCGCCACCTACATTTGTTGGTCCTGGTACATCTATATAAATCCCTTTTTCATCACACGCTTCAAGACAAAATTCTAAATAGAAATCAGCTGACAATCATCTATATTTATATATAGATGATTATTCTGATTTACTTATTTAAGTACAAATTTTGACATGTCATTACAATTAACTTAAGTAAAAAGTTTAATTAAAAAAATGACAAATATATTAAAAAAAAATTCGATTTTTTTCCCCAGAATCCCAAAATCCAGTTTTAAATGAAAAATAAATATATATTGCTTAAAGCATTCATCAATTGCTTATATTACAAGCTTGTTTATTGTTTTTATTTTACATTTTTTTTGTAGATCCAGCAGAGCTTGGAGGCAAGAGCTGCCACTTTAGTTGGTCCGCCACCTACATTTGTTGGTCCTGGTACATCTATATAAATCCTTTTTTCATCACACGCTTCAAGACAAAATTCTAAATAGAAATCAGCTGACAATCATCTGATATTTATGTGTAGCTATACCGGCAGTAGCGCCTCCTCCAATGATGCGTCCAGCATTTGTTCCGCACGTCTTACAGAGACCAGGTAATCAGATTCATTCATATATATTCTTCAAAACTTTTGATCATTTATGTATTAATGGTTACATTATTATATATGTATAATATGAATCAATGGTATCTGTAATTCTATGATGTATTCTGCTTATGTGGAAACAAATAAATTGAGAATTTTTTAAAAAGCTTAAATATATATTTATATAAAAAAACAACAACACGTGAATAAAAATAATAAAAACTATAATGTGTGTTTGTGCGAAATTTTAAAGGGGTCATCATGAACTGCATTTTTTTAATTATTTGATAATATTTCCTGAGGTGCAATTGTAATGTTAGTATGATTTTTACATCAAAAATGGTCATAATTTAGAAATTAAAGGACATTTTCTATTCTGATTTTAGCCCTCTGATTTATATAAATTTGTGCTGTGTGATTGACATCTCCAGCAATTATAAAGGGGTATTCTTTGATCACTTTCTGTATATAATTTAATCACAATTTGAGTAACTGAGAGAAGCAATGTCTAGTCGACCGTTAAGTCACTGGCTCGATTTACTGACGCATAAACAGCAATAAATTAATTTGAGACAAAGAGCATCTGACTGTACACGAATCATTACATATCAGAAAACACTGATCGGAGATTAGGCATTAGAATTAATACGGTTACTTACATGTTGTGGTATTACTGTCAGGTCCATTTCTTACAGTAAAAGTCTGTTTGCAAAGCATGTGCCGAAACTATGACTGATTTACCTAAGAATCCACAGTGAAATGTACCAAGCAAACAAATAATGCTCTACTGAGACATCCACATAGTGGAAAATAAATAAGCACTTTCCTAGGATTAGGATCCTTTGGAAGGTCATTTATTTTTAGTCCAGTGATTCTGTACTCACTAATCTCACTAATGCTTCAGGCGATGTAGAAGTAGGCGTTGAGCTGATTCTGCCGAGGCGGGCTTTCGTCACACTATGATGTCATAATGTGATCAAATCTGAAACGAGTCGTTTTCTGATCTTGGTTTCAATAAAAGCTGTTTTTGCACTAACAAGGAAGTTTTGAGCTGAAACTTACCAGATGTTATTATAGTACAATGACCTCTTACATGTCAAAACATCAAGGAAAATTTGATTTCTCAGTTCATCATGTCCCCTTTAAGCGTCTTGTGCTTCCGTTGTAATGTGTTCCTGATCGTATAAATCTTTTCTCTCCATCTTTTTCTCAGGAGGAGTTGTTAGCATTGGTGGCGGAGCAGCAGGCAGCTGGGCTGCTGGACTCAAAGAAGGAGGCGGTCACAGATGACAGCGTAATCGGGCCGAGCAAGCCTGAGCCTGAGCCTACACATGTGGAGGTTTAATATGATTCAAAATGAAATTTTAAACTTATTTTAACATATATTTTAACATGTTATAAAAGGTTATGTTCTGCACCACTAGTGGCACCAAACAGAATTGTATCATAATGAGCAACAATTTTCAAACACATTCCCTGTTTAGACAAAGAGATTGTCCAGCCCTAAATTCATTCCATTGGATAAGCAATATCTGATGCAATATCTACTGATGCAGAAATTACACATTATATGTAATATATATAATGAAAGAATATAAAACAGCTCTTGGAGGAAAAGATAAAAACAGGGTCATTTTAATACTATTATAATATGTATTACTATTTAAAATTGGCTTGTATTTTATATTTTCACTTTTAGTTTATGTGCTTTTTTCCATTTTAATTTGAAGGCACAATATGTAAGATTTTTTTAATTAAAATATCCAAAAACCACTAGAACAGTGTTATATATTTTGCTGACTTGTGTACTTACATTATCCCAAGTGTTTCGAAGAATGTTCGGTTTTGTTTTGTAGAAAACATGGAAACAGCAAAGACGATTTAATATGTTGTGTGTTTAAATAGACCGGTGACGACTGCACAGAGTAGCATTATAACAGAACTTTCAAATGTATCTAGTATGATAAAACAGCGCTGCTTTTTTTTCCCCACATACGCACGACTGGAAGGAGCAGAAGCGGTCGACTGTGGCATAATAAAAGCTCCACTGCTTTCGAGCCGTGTGTCACGCTCGTTCAGCGGCCTCGTTTCACTTCGACAGCTTTCAGCCTCACCCTGCTTCATTCTACTACGTTACCAAATCATTAGCTCATCCATGAACATGATTTCTGCCCGAGTCCTGTCGGATTGCATCGGCTGTGAGGATGAAGAACACAACTCCCATGATTCCACACTCAAGTCATCAAAGTATGCCTTTGTCTCTTTGTTTATTTTGAATACACGCCCTCTAGCGGCGAAAAATTACATATTGTGCCTTTAGGTATTTATATTTAACTTTCATTTATTTTAGTTTTCTTAGTTTTAGCACTTCAACTCAAATTCAGACTTGCCAAAGCAGCATTTCAAATGTTCATTTAAGTTTCATTTAGGTTTAATTCTTGCACCTTATATTTATATTCTATTTTATTTCAGCCTTATTAATGAAAACAATTTTTAATAGTTTTATTTAACAGTTACAACACTGGATAAAGAAAGTTCATTTAAAAATGAAAGCTCTTTATAGGAATTCTTGATATGAATTTTGTTCTAATTATTTCTTGTTCACATGTGCATAGCCTGCTGATACTAGCACAGAAGATAAGAAGAAAGGAAAACAGGAAAAGGTGAAGAAATGCATCCAGGTAGCAGCAGGTGTCTCATGGGAGGACACCAGCCTATTAGAGTGGGAATCAGGTTTGCGGACATTTAGTAAATTTCATAAAAAGTTGACTTTTCTTTAAAAAGGAGCCAAGCACATATAGAAATGAAATTATCGCCTTTCTTAGATGATTTCCGGATATTTTGTGGCGATCTGGGGAATGAGGTGAATGATGACATTCTGGCGAGAGCGTTTAGCCGTTATCCATCCTTCCTGAAGGCGAAGGTTGTTCGAGACAAACGCACTGGGAAAAACTAAGGGTTACGGCTTCGTGAGCTTTAAAGATCCCAATGATTATGTGCGCGCCATGAGAGAAATGAACGGTGAGTTAATGAGGATAATAATGAATGGCTGTTTAGATCAATACATACAAATACAGTTCATTAAATTAGCATATACATAATGTTCAAATGTTCTATTTTTTTGTTGGTAATTTTATGTTTTAAATGAATACTTTTATTCAGCAAAGATGCATTAAATGGGTCAAAAGTGTCAGTAAAAACATTACTAATATTACAAACGATTTCTATTCCAAATAAATGCTGTTCTTTTGAATTTTGTATTGCTCAAAGAATCCCGAGAGAACAAAATGTATCACGGTTTCCACAAAAAATATTAAGCAGCACAACTGTTTTCAATATTGATGATAATAAAAGTGTTTCTTCAGCACCAAATCAGAATATTAGAATGATTTCTTCAGGATCATGTAATACTGAGGAGTAATGACTGCTAAAAATTCAGCTTTAGAAATAAATTAAATTTGAATATATATACGAATAGAAAATAGTTTTCACAAATAATTTCATAATGGTACTGTTTTTATTGTGTTTTTGATCAAATAAATGCAGCCTTGCTGAGCATAAGTAACTTTCAGAAACATCAAAAAATACAAACTTTTGAATGTCAGTGTGTTTTTAACATTTTATTTGACAAAAATATAGAATGCACATTTTTATATATTTGTCTGAATTCTGGTGAAAATTAGCTTTATTTTGAGATGATACTGTATCATTTTTTTTATGGTCATCATGCTCTAAACACATTCATTTGTCTTTGATTTTAGGGAGGTACGTGGGCAGCAGACCCATCAAACTGAGAAAGAGTTCATGGAAAGATCGCAATCTGGAGGTCGTGCGTAAGAAACAGAAGGAGAAAAAGAAGTTGGGACTGAGATAATTCATCTGTTCTGAAACTGTGGACTTGATCGGTGTGTGTCACCCAGCACCTAATGTATATAACAGAGTAGGAGTCACTCACACTCCTGCAATAGTTGCAAATAAACAAGGGTCAGCTTCTTATATGGCCCTTATTACTAATAAATCTACATTTCTTTCCAAGTGTATTATTACACACAGACCATCTCTCTGCATGCTGAAAAATCATGCACATTCTTTCACTTGCCGAGAGATTTTTAAACAAAGTGTGGTAATGAAACTGGTTTGGATGTTGAAAATGTTGGTTTTGTTTTCTTCCTCAATTTATTTTTATTTTTTTTCAAATCTCTTAGAAGCAACTAACTTTAAAGTTCAGGAAGGGAGTTACATTTGTTACTGTATGAGTTTGATGTTTTTAAGTAATATGTGTAAAAAGGCAAATCTTTTCAATAAACTGAGGTGTTCCTTTAGTTTAAATTCTTATCTGTTTTATTTAACTAATTTCAATTCAAAACATTGACTGCTTTAACTGATTATTCTAAAAACAACCACCAGGTGGCTTCACAAAATTATTTTGTCCAGAATGGTATACATTTTTTAGAATCTCTTGCAAATGTTAATAATACATAACTCTAATGTAAACACATAAAAATACCATTTATGAATTATTTTGAAAAAAGCTGTCATAGTTACTGGTGGTAGCTAACTAAATGATTTTTCTCCTAACCACACACGCCCACTTGCATGTGTTTCTAAAAGACTCATTTCCTAAAGCTGGTGTGAGAAAGCAGAAATGGCTCATGCATCAACCTGTCTGACAAACAACTGAGACTATACACACATCACAACGCCAAGAGAAAATGCACCATAGAGCCACATGTGAGTTTTGAATTCTTAATCAAAATTAGGACAGCTCTTTATTTCAAGTTTAATGGTGTCTAAATGTTTTCAGGAGCCTGTTTAAAAATTGTTATGTGTATACCATCTCTGTTCATGCTTTTGCATTTATTAATTTGTTTATAAAAATAATTTCATTGTCAATCTATTAACATTTCATATCTGGTTGTGTAGTTTCTCATAATTGTTTGTGTAGTTACCATATTCATGTACTACAGTATTTCCCAGGAACCCTGTGATACTTTAAAGAATACTATGGTACATGTTATGTCTTGTTAGAAGTATCTTGAAATACCATGGAATATTATAGTACTTTGAGATGCACCTTAGTACTGACTATAAAAAATGTATAGGAACTTTGTTTCCATATGCACCTTGATATAGAATGTTTGATTACCATTCGTGTACTAAGATACTTCAAAGTACATTAAAGAATGCCAAGGCATTTTTTTTTTTGATGCATACCATAGTAGTGACTAATTACCATATTTATGTGCTATGGTATTTTATGGTACTACTTAAAAACTAGCAAGCTACTTAAAAGAATATGGTAGTATCATAATCTTACATGCCAAAATAGTCCATAAACCCAGTGTTTGTCTTCACAGCATAAACCACAAAAATGTTGGTTAAAAATTAGGGTCTCATAATTTTAAAACTCGTATTCAGGTTAATTTCTTTTTAATTCTACTGGATGACGATTGCGCGCTTCAGGCTTCCTTTTGTCCAACGGGCCACCTCCGTGGAACACTCCATTCTGAAAAAGAGGGGGAAACAGATTGGTTATCTTTTAGAAAGTATTACTTTACACCGCAAACAGCGCTGCTAACACATCAGACGTGGATAAATCTAATAAATTCGAAATATTTTGTAACACGTCGATATATCGCGTAAAAAGTGTCCTCGACCGCGTCGATGTAAAGTGAGGCCACCCGCAAGTTGTTTTGAGAGCGGCGAAGAACCCCTCAGTTCTCCCAGCGAGCAGACGAGGATGGGCGGGAGAACAACACGCTGGGACGATTCCGCTGTGGAGGAGAATCTGCCTGATTTGAGTCTCCTCTCTGAGTAAATTGTTTTTGGATAACAGTATGCTGACGGTATGTCAGTGGTGACAGTATGTATCTGAGCGGGATTTCTGGAGTTGCTTGAGGGCGCGCTGAACCTTTCTTCCTCCTCCTCTTCCTCTTTTTGCTCTTTATTGGAGGTTCTCCGCTGTAACAGCGCTCAGTCTTTGGCGTCTGGTAACGTTAGTGCCTCTGCACGATCCAGACTATTCATACACTATTGCAAAATAAAACCAGGATGTAAGGGAAAGCGTTGATGTGGGAAGGAACTCCTGATCCAAACACGGAGCCCTGCTGGTCCCTCCCGCCTAAGCTGGAGATAGGGATGGTGGTAAGTTGTATTTCTGTATTAAACCCTTCACAATCAGCCTCAGTGTTTATTGGTTTTCCACCGCACACCATTTCAACTGCCTCTACTTTCCTCCTACTGACTGAGTTGGTTGTATTGATGCTGTTGTTGCCATTAGTTACAAGATCAGCATCAGCAACACACTGCATCTGACAAACGGCTATTGTCCCTCATCTCATGTTGCCAAAAATGGGTTCACTGTTTTGTTTTTTTTTTGGTGGGGGGGGAGCCCCTCCTCGCTAACCATTCCCACCCACCCAGCACTATTCCACTGGGAGTACAGCTCCTTTCCAGGGTATAATTTCATTTATCTGCCATTGTGATGTGCTCCTCATCAATATCCGTTTCAGTTGACAGCCATATGCATCTTCTTTTGTTGCGCTTGCATCATTATTTCTCATTCTTATCCAACAAAGACATGACCTGAAACTCCTTGTCCCCTCGTGAATATTTCAGGTGGCAAGAAACATGCTTTTGTACAGTCTACAGAAGGTCTTTCAGTCGTAATGTTGGTGATCTGATTACTGTTTGCTCAGTGGTTTGTTTAAAAGCAGTGGACCTGCCGGTTCTTCTAGAGCAGGGGTCACCATACTCGGTTTTGGAGGGCCGGTGTCCTGCAGAGTTTAGCTCCAACCCTAATTAAACACACCTGAAGCAGCTAATCAAGATCTTACTAGGCATACTAGAAACTTCCAGGCAGGTGTGTTGAGGCAAGCTGGAGCTAAACTCTGCAGGACACCGGCCCTCCAGGACCGAGTTTGGGCACCCCTGTTCTAGAGACGAACTAACTAACAAACATGCTCACTTTGTTCAAGCTTATGGCTCGACTTCTTGGGAAAGCACTGGTCTGTGTTGATGCTTACTCAGTCAACATTGACTAAGACAAGTCATCGGTTGAAATGCAGTGACGTGGAGCTAAAGTTCATTGTAAATCACCACAAAGAGTTGTGACAAGGGAAATTTTATGATTTCGGCATGTTAAGAGACTTGATGAGAGACATGTTAAGAGAGATGGGATGACTGCATTCATTAAACCACCAACCAAACAAATTTGTTTGTGGTGTCTTTTAGCTTTAGAGTTTCGTCTGTTGCCTAAATCTATTTGCTTAAACGGATAGTTCATCCAAAAATGAAAATGTTGTCATTGTTTACTCTCTCTTTCATGTTTTTCCAAACCAGTATGACTTTCGTTCTGCTGTGGAACACCAAAGGAGAAGAATATTTACAGAAAACAGTAGAAGTCGATGGGCACCAAAGACTGTCAAGCTCAAAAAAAGCACCCTAAAAGCATTCCATATAATTTGTGTGCTGTTTTTCCAAGCTTTATAAAGTCAAATGACAGGTTTATATGTAGACTAATGTTTAACTAAATATTAAAAAGTAACTAAAATTTTAATTCGGGCTAAAATTTAAAGGAATAGATCAGCCAAAAATGAAAATTTGCTGAAAATGTACTTACCTTCAGGCCATCCAATATATAAATGAGTTTGTTTCTTAATTTGAACAGATTTGGATAAATTCAGCATTATATCACTTACTCACCAATGGATCCTCTGCAGTGAATGGGTGCCGTCAGAATGAAAGTCCAAACAGCTGATAAAAACATAACAATAATCCACAAGTAATCCACACAACTCCAGTCCATCAATTAATGTCTGTGTGAAGCTGTGTGTTTGTAATAAACAAACCCATCCTTAAGACGTTTTTAAGCTTTAAACCATTGCTTCTGGCTAAAACACAATGTTCTCTGTCCATAATATTGCTTTCTTCAGTGGAAAGAGAGAAATATGCACAGACAAAGCAGTGTTTACAAGTGGAAACAGTCCAAAACAGTTCTAAACGTATTGTGATGTTTTTATCAGCTGTTTGGTCTCTCATTCTGACGGCACCCATTCACTGCAGAGGATCCAATGATGAGCAAGTGATGTAATGCTAAATATCTCTAAATCTATTCTGATGAAGAAACAAACTCATTTACATCTTGGATGGCTTGAGAGGGAGTAAATGTTCAGCAAATTTTCATTTTTGTGTGAACGATTCCTTGTTTGACAGCTGTGTTTCACAGAAGAAGGAAAGTCTTACTGGCTTTGAAAGACACAAGGATGAGCAAATTATGGCAATTTGTATTTTTAGGTGCACTGTTATGTTGATTTGAGATCAGTGCATTGTAAATTTTGGGTTTAGTGTGGGCTTGATCAGACTTCAGAACAACGTACGGTGAAAACCCATGACTAGAGCGAGAGAGACGCTGGGTGTGATGAAGCACTAGGCGATCAAGGTGTTTAATTACCGCCACAGCATCCTGGTTTGGCGGAGAGCATGTGTAGGAACTTGGCAGTGTGTCTGTGGACGCACCTGTCTGGAAGATTTACGATGGATATTTGGGAGTCAGAAGGCTGTTCTTTTTCATTCTTGTGACTGTGTTGATTGGATTTTCATGACACTGGCAATCGTTTGGCAGCGTGTGCAGTAGAAATCAATTCAGTTAGACTCTAATGAGGTCTAAAGTTCCTCCTTGATGATTAATGTCTAGGTAGAGCTTGGCACAGCCCTCATGTGGGCTGTCTTGAAGACCCGCCACAGTTTTCTCATTAATAATGAATACAGGCTGTGTTCCAGAATGCATTTAATAGACTGAAGCTTGTATATTACATTAAGGTTACCAGTTCAAGCTTAAAGGAATGGTTCACTCAAAAATGATTTATTCTTATGTTCCTTGTGACATAGAAGCCTTTATACAACTTTTTTTTCCATATAATGACAAAAGGCTTGGAATATTGCGTTTGAGTCATATGGACCACTTTCTTAGTGTTTTTGGAGCTTGATCATTATGAAATGTTGGTATATGGGGGAAAAAATAACAGCATTTGGGTTCAGAACGAATAGATATTAAATATTAACAGAGTAAATAATAAGAGAATGTTCATTTTTGTGTTAATGGGAGAATTAACCCAAAAATGTAAATGCCATAATTTACTCACCCTCATGTTTCTTTTGTGAAAAATAAAAGAAGATATTTTGGTATGTTGAGAATTTTTTCCCCATACAGTACAGGTCTGGAATTAATTGTTATTTTTGGGTGAACTGTCCCTTTATCTGTTGTTATAATCTCATTGACGACCTGTCAGCGCTGTTATGTGATGTTTGTCTCT